GGGCTGGGCACGAAAATCGCAAAAAATAAATCGCGAGCGCTACCGCGGGGGGTGGTGCATGGGGTATCTTTCTTATTCGAATACGACAACACGTTGGGAGCCGAACTACATACTCGTTCGTTTCTTGCCTGTACATATATGCACACTATATACACCCCTGCATAACATATATGTTGCGAGGTAGACAGATCATGTATCTTTCCAACAATATATTAAGGACGGCCATGAAGAGTGGGGCAAGCGGAGCAGAGTCGTCGGCTGCTGCTTCCGACAGAGCAGCTCCGAGTGCAGTTCTTCCACCAAGTGGACCGCCGCAGCAACCCCCAGCCCCGTGTGCAGTTCCTCAGCAGAACCTTCCAACGAGTGGACTGCCGCAGCAACCCAAGGCTCCGTGTGCAGTTCCGCAGAACCTGCCACCAAGTGGACCGCCGCAGCAACCCAAGGCTCCGTGTGCAGTTCCGCAGAACCTGCCGCCAAGTGGACCGCCGCAGCAACCCAAGGCTCCGTGTGCAGTTCCGCAGAACCTCCCGCCAAGTGGACCGCCGCAGCAACCGACAGCTCCCTGTGCAGTTCCGCAGAACCTGCCGCCAAGTGGACCGCCGCAGCAACCGACAGCTCAGTGTGCAGTTCCTGCTCAGCAGCAGAACCTTCCGCCAGGACCGCAGCAACCGGCAGCTCCGTCTGAAGTTCCTCAGCAGAACCTTCCAGCAAGTGGACCGCCGCAAACAGTGGCAGCTCAGCTGTGTGCAGTTTCGCAGAACCTTCAAGCAAGTGGACCGCCGCAGCAACCTGCAGCTCCGCCGTGTGCAGTTCCGCAGCAGAACCTTCCACCCAGTGGACCGCTGCAGCAACCTGCAGCTCCGCGTGCACTTCCTGCGCAGAACCTTCCAAGTGGGCCGCCGCAGCAACCGACAGCTCCGTGCGCAGTTCCTCAGCAGAGCCTTCCACCGAGTGGACCGCCCCAGCAACCGGCAGCTCCGTGTGCAGTTTCTCAGCAGAACCCGCCAAGTGGACCGCCGCAGCAGGTGACAGCGTGTGCAGTTCCTCAGCAGCAGAACCTTCCACCGAGTGGACCGCCCCAGCAACCGGCAGCTCCGTGTGCAGTTCCGCAGAACCTGCCGCCAAGTGGACCGCCGCAGCAACCGACAGCTCCGTGTGCAGTTCCTCAGCAGCAGAACTTCCCGCCAAGTGGACCGCCCCAGCAACCGGCAGCTCTGTGTGCAGTTCCTGAGCAGAACCCCTCGCCGAGTGGACCGCCGCAGCAAGTGGCAGCGTGTGCAGTTCCTCAGCAGCAGAACCTTGCGACAGGACTGCCCCAGCTTGCAGTTCCTCAGCAGAACCCCTCGCCAAGTGGACCGCAGCAAGTGGCAGTGTGTGCAGTTCCTCAGCAGCAGAACCTTGCGACAGGACCGCCCCAGCTTGCAGTTCCTCAGCAGAACCCCGCGCCAAGTGGACCGCCGCAGCAAGTGGCGGCTCTGTGTGCAGTTCCTGAGCAGCAGAACCTTGCAGCAGGACCGCCCCAGCAACCGGCAGCTAAGTGTGCAGTTCCTCAGCAGCAGAATCTTTCGCCGAACGCTTTCCTTCGACGGCTTGACCCCATAGTGGTGTCTGCAGACGACAGCCAGGATCCGTGGGCGCTACCGAGCTTGTCGGTCAAGCCAACAAGACAGGACTCTTTCCTCAGCGAGACGACCCTGGCTACTGAGGAGGGTGTTTCGGTGAAAGAGGTGATGCGAGAGCTCGAGACACAGCTGGAGGACATGTCCGTCGTTGAACATGACAAGGCTGCCCAGCCCAAGATCCACCACAGTGGCTCGACACTTGCTGCCTCTGCTTCCTTCGAAGACACTTCAAGAGTGGCCAGAGTCTCCCAGGCAGGTTTCTCGTATATGTGCTCGCATATATATAGGGCCAATATATAAGACTTCCCCGTGCGTCTGTGATGTGTGTCAGTGTAAGGATATCAAGATCGACATACCCAGTCTCTTTATATATTTATCCTAAAATTTCTGTGATGATTTCTGTTTTGCCGTCACGCACAGATGTGATCCAATATCGCAGGATGTGCTGCCCCCGGACACATCGGCAGCTGCAATGCAAAAGGCCGCACCGAAAGGGAAGACTTGTTCAGCGGTGACGGCGAAAGCCAAATGTGCGGCAAGGGTGCCGAAGAGCAAGTCTCATGCCAAGGATATACTCCGCAGTAGATAATGATTGGGTGCGTTTTTTTTGCCTTTTTTGAGAGCTACACAACAAGAGTCGTCGCATCATGCACTCGTGCAGGACAATGATGAGTATGCCTTGCCGGAGCTTAGCTTGGAGGAGAAGAAGATGTACGGCAATTTCTGGTCCAGGTTTCGATCGACTTCGTCCTTGAGCCTGGGAAGCGTCGATGAAGAGAAGTCTCCGGTGAGCAGTGAGGTCGTGCGATCCGGCCCTGCGCCCACTTTGCCTGCTGCAGAAGTTGTGCAGACCGGCCTTCCCAGCGAGCCAGAAGTTGTGCAGACCGCCGCTACGCCTGTGGCGGGGGTTGCTGTGGCCAGTCAAGAGGTTGCTGTGGCCAAGCATGGGCCTCCTGTCGTGCCACCGAAGGTTGAATTGCTGGCTGTTCCGCCACCAAAGCCGGCACAGCAGGCGCACGAGGCAGGGACAACGACAGCTCCGATGAGCAATGAGGCCATGGCTACAGCGCTGGCTACGATGCTCGGTCAGATCTCTTCTGGTGGTCTTGATGCAGCAGGCTTGGCCGCCATGCAACAGTCGTTGGCCAGCATTGTTGCTGGAGCAAAGGCTGCAACCCCAGCATCAGGGGCCCAGCCTGGAACTGCCACCACTGCTCCCGTGGAGGCTGGAGCAATGGCTGCAACCCCAGCACAGGCCCCGCCTGGAACTGCCACCACTGCTCCTGCGGCGACGCCGCCCGCTGTGGATAAAACACTTATCCAAGACAATGCCCAGCCGGCTCCCCCCGCGCCTACGCCTAGCCCCAGCCCTGCTGCTGCTGTGCCTTCGCCTGCTTCTCTTCCTTCGCCTGCAACACCCAGCACTGCGAGCCCTTCGGGAGCGGTCCCGCCCCCCAAAATCGCAGGCATCGTCGGCCCAGTGAACAGCTCCACACACCGCGCGGAATACCGTGCGTTTCAGCGCTTTTGTGAGAACAGTCCAGGGGCCCAAGAACTCAAGAAAGTGTGGGTCCAAGGAGGACCAAAGAAGATGGCGATGTTCCAGAAATACATCCTCACCGGATGTGGCTAGGCTAAACTATTTGTTTCGCTGTGTGCGTTTGGGTCCCATGAAATGTGTTGATGACGACTGGGTTTGAAATGCCAGGGTCTACGGAGGTACTGTTAGATCCAGAGGCTGCAGAGGTTGCGTCCATGTATGGCCGGATCGACCCATCCCAGGTGATGCCATGGCTCTGGAGTGTGCTCTCCAGTTCCGCCGTCAAAGAGAGGAGGAAGACAAGGATGAAGGCGCTTCCGCATTGAGGGTTTTCACATGTGTGTGTGTGTGTACACATCCCCGCATGTAGCTGTGCCTATGTACCACCCGTGATGATCGCATTGTCTCTCTTGGCTGGGTATGTCTGTGGGAATGCAACTCTATCTATGTCTATATACCTATCTATATCTATCGATCTATCTATATATATATATATAATGTATGTCGTCTGTACATATATACACATATATATGTAAGTACATGAGTACACAAATATGTGTCTCTATATAACGACAGTGCTTTTGCATTGCTGTGCATGTGCCCCCTTCATCGTAGCTTGCTTGCGAGTACCCAGTGTCGGCTCAATAGAATGCTAATAAACAAGAAACCATCACTCCATAAACTCCGAAACGATCCCAGACTCAATATGATTTTTCCGCTGACGTGTGCAGGTGAATACTACCCGTGGAGAGACATCCTGAGCTTCCACGACGGGAACCAGGACAAGGCCCTGACCTTCATCAGCCGCCGGCGCTCCGAACCGAAAGGGACCGCTTGCATAGTTGAACATGTACAGTTCATGTGGTTCCGCACATGTATAGTTCAGTTCATGTTTCATTGTCTTCGGACAACTTTGCATCGACAGGACCTCTTCGGATCGCAATGATCCAACGATCGAAACGTTTCTGTATTACGGTCGCCAGAAACGAAGCTTCACCAACAGGTCAATCGTGGCTTGCTTGCATATGTACACGACCGAGTGTGTATTTCTCGTGCAGGGCTGTCGTGCATGTAGGGTTACCGAGCAGGAATCATTATAAAGTGGTGGCACCTCTTGTGCAACCAATCATGAGGACGAGATCGCCATCTCCATGGGAGCCTCGCCTTCGTACGCTGCACAAGTCGCTTCGATGCTCGACAACATGAACGGTGCTTTGCCGTTGGGCGATGATCCGGATCAGGCTATGGTGAACCCGCCGGTGGTTTCCGCGAAACCACCTCCGCCGCCAGGTGAGAAAACGAATGGAGGAGGAAACAAAGGTAACACCAAAGGCGACGATTCCAAAAAGGAAGACCTCCCGAACAAGAAGGCAAGGACTGCGAAGCCGCAGGCCCCCTGCGAAGCGTCGCAGTGCTGTACGTGATAGTGAATATATGAGTTCCGAATAGATAGTCACAACCCCTGCCCATGCAGGGCTCGGACCTCGAGTTGAACATCAGCACGGAGGATGTTCCACTTTTCGTGAAGTCATGGGTTGCCGCGGCGAACACCGCGGCTGGGCAAGCTGTGAAAATGTGCGCAGAGTGCCTGGGCAGTTGAAACACGTTTCACCCGAGATGCACATGAACATGCTTTCGGGCTAGAAAAATTGTCCGTGACATCTGAGGTTGGAGGTGCTCGACAGCCAGGAGGCTCTGATGGACAAGATTAAGGACTGTGCCGACGGCATAGGTGCCTGTCGCAAAAAGCTCCAGCTCATGGGGCCGCAGCCGGTTGCGGCCGATGTGCAGATGGCCCTGTCAGAAGCGACTTGGGTGTAAACAAAATTGTCGGTTAGGATTTGCCTTTGCACGGAGCTTGATACTTGTCTCCCCTTTGACACACCCCAGGCTGCCGTCTACGTGGAAGGCTTCAAGAAGCACACTCGAGTGGCGAATGGCCTGCCACTTGCTTCAAATGTGTATGTGGGTTGGCTGGCAATTTCCTGTGCCTTATACAGAAGATTGCCCTATAATCCCTATACATATATCCTGCCACGGGATGTTCCTCGTATATGGTTTTGTGTGGACCGCTACTGGCGTATAATTGTTCGGGTGATGAGGATCGCAGCGGAACGACGCCCGGCGAAGGCTGCGAAGAAAGCCAAGGCAGCCGTGCCGCCAAGTGAGTAGGGCCGGGATCGAAGGACAGCGTGATGCAGACGCGCAGCTGTGTGCTGCTGCCTACAATAAGCAACCTGACTCGAGCTAGGTAGGTTCCTCCCTTGCTGTAGACGAATATTCATAACTCCTAGAGCCGGTTTCTTGGTTTGCTAGTGAAAGTTAGGTTTGCTATTTAGGTTTGTTTCGGGCGGTGTATACGGTGGTATGGTGTATGCATCAGTAGACTGATGGTACCTCTATATATTGAGTCTATACTGGCAAGCAGTCATGGCAATTACGATGTGTGGTTGTTCGGTAATCCTGTTCAATATTGTGGTCGAAATTTAATAGTACTGTCACGACACTGTCGATCTGCATCCGGTCCGGGAAGTCTCGTTTTCTCCTTTCGATCTGATGGCTGCGGGGCTTACGGTGCTCAGCACTCTGCCCGTGACCTAAGTCAGTGTGCCCTGAGTGTGAGCGGGGATCAGCCAGCAGGAACATGGGATCACATGTTCTTCTCTTGCGAAGACTGCATGCATAGTGCGGACTCCTTATAATATGGTGTGCAATATGTTCTTGTACCGAGACTCTCTGCTAGCTGTTAATTACGCTGTCATCACCACGTTGTTTGTGCGTGTTTCTCGCACCTAGCAATATACGTAACTACATCCTTCAATAATATGATCTCGCTGCACGCCATCTAGGAGCCCTCACAATAAATGTGTGCCTGGGGTGTGTCAAGTACACGTCTTGCCTTGCGCCACTTCAGATGACGCTTCAAGTGCGACCTATCCCCAAAAGCATCATGGATGTGTGTACTGCGAAGCAGGTTTTTGCGTGGCCATGGCATCAACATGGACCGTGAACATACTCTGTATACAGGCATGCTTCTTAGGTTCGAGGGGCCATGCAGCCCAGGCCTTGAAGAGCTGTTTTTTCATGTTGAGTCGTGCCTTGACGTACGTTCTATTGAACCTACTCTGTATGGATGTGCAGCCCAGCACTGCAGGGATGTATTAAGTACATCTATGATTACCTATGATCCACTCCCCACGCCGCCGTAACCATGCGACCAGGACTGTTTATAGTGTAGTCTTATTATATTGTCGTTACTACACGAGCCCTAGCCTACCTAACCACCGTATCCCTGTACGTCCTCTCTCTATTTATACATCTACATACCACTATAATCTCTATAGACCTTTGTCCTCGAACCATCATGGCTTTATTGCGTGTGCAGTCTGCTCAGCCTGGCTTCCTGTATGCCGCTGCTGAAGAGATTGCAGGGTTTGGCCAAGAGCCTGAATCAAAAGGCGTCTGGCAGTGATGTGAGCAGACGGCCATCGAATGGCGACTTTTCCTTACAAACCAGTTCTCTGAGTAGAACACTGGGTTGGCATGTTGGGCGCGGGGGCAGCTCAAAACTTCTGCAAGAAGTGGCATCTGCGGCTGTGCAAGAATCAGGGGCCGCGAATGTGACTCCCAGCCGCTTGTCGAATTGGCTTTGTGAGCTCATGCATATATGTGGTCGACATACGACTACACGGTTCCAAGGTACCAGGTGGGCCGCGACGTTGGGTGCATCAGGACGGCGCGCATCGCACATCGAGCAGCGGCTCAGCAAGGCCCTCTCTTGCTCGAGGAGTGATGTCGCAAGTTTGCATTATAAACAAAGGCTATACATGTTTTATGCAGTCATGCGGCTATTGTATCAATGAAGTCAACGTGTTGGATCGTGCGAAGATATCTGAGGCTGCACTGCAATGCCCTCTCAGCTCAGTGTCCGTCGTGATGAAAGATGCTCGTGCAGACCGTCAACGACAACAACAACTACGACGACAGGACAACTGTCGCCGCAGGCGGCTTGGTTTACTCAGGCAACGAAAGCCTAAGAAAAAAAGCGCCAGGGCCCGGCCGACCCATGAGAAAGCCGTGCAAACGCTGTCAGTGCTGCTACCTCATGTTCTGTTTAGCAGCATGGTCTCTTCTGGGTTGATCGGCGAGCTGATGCTTGGTGGCAATGTGCACCGGTGCTGCACGGTGTTGGTGATGTCGCGATGTCTTGACTTCTCCAGTCGCTGTGCAACTCAGGGCCGGCAGTGTCGATTGGTTAGACTGGTGGCAAAAAGCCAAGAGTGAACCCTGGGGGCTGCATCGTGCCTGCACTAGAAACGCGTGGAGACTGTTGTTTGCTATCTAGCAGAGTACGTATTCCCACTGTGCATGTGTCTAGCCAGCAACCATATATACAAGGAATCACCCGGTGCAAAGCTGGCCAGAAGAGGCCAGGCGCAAAGCGGTGGCAGTGTCGATCCACGGCGACGAGGGGACCGGCAAAAGGTCCAAAAGTATCTTGGTGATTTCGTTTTCCCCCCTTGCCATCCACCGTGCCGACTCCATGTTGCAGAAATTTCCGTACTGTGCGCCTTGGTGTTGTTATTTGATGGTGCACAGACGCTGCGTGGATTCCAATTGGGTGTCCATGTGTCTGATTGTGCTGAGGTGGTGCGATCGGACCGATTTGCCTACGAGGCTGGCCAGAATCTGACGTTGCAAGGACTGCAGCGGCATTTTGCCGCCTCATTCAGGGTTTGCTGCGAGTCCACCCGCGAAGGCCAGCACGGCTGGTCTTTGCACCCAGTTGTCAGCAAAGGCGATTGGAAACATAAACGCGAGTGGTTGCAACAATCACGGCATTACAACAATATGGCCGGCTCCGCTCCTCGTGGTCCTGATGTCGGCAAAATTTGCCCTCGGTGCTTGTGCGACAGCAGCACACCTGGAAAGCACTGGGCTGACATGCGCGAGGGTTTCGACAATGCCGCGGATCTCCGGCAAGCTGCCATTGACAGCAGCTAGGCTGGCATAAAGGTGTAATAGTGTGTAAGTACCGTGTCCAGCATGCAGCCTGAATGTTGCGTGTTGCAGATTCCATTTTTTCATGAATGCACGTACTATCCTTTCGCGCTCAGCGCTCGGTGCTGGGTTTGTCTTAGGCGTCGGCCCCGGGATCCCGCCGTGGATTGACATGTACTTATTGTGTGGTTTGCAGCGCAGCGGCTAGAGCTAGGTCTGTCATGGTCTTGCTCCGCGAAGATTCGTTAAGGATGTATTTGATTCCTGGCTACCATCACTCGATGGAGTATCCCGATTTGCTTCACTGCTT